AAAGAGGTTTTAAAGGAAAATCCCACTTTACTTGATGGTCTCTTCGATCGTATTGAAGATGATGATCACTGGTTTCTGGGATAAAAGAGAAGTTAGATGAGAGCATCAGGAATTATTCTTGTTATTGTTGCTAGAGTCCAATCACATTTAATCCCAGGTGATGGCCAGGAGTCAGCTAAAACTGGTAAAGGTAGCAATTTCATTTGGGTCCTCCTCTCTGGCCTGATCTGGTCAAGACAACCCTCAGGATTAGGATAAAGGCAGTCTATTCTGTTTTTCGCTTCCAAAGTTTTCTTCTTAGATCTGAAATAGGAAGTGATGGGTGAAATTCCCTCATTATTTTGTCCACTAACGAAGTCTAATATTCAAACACACCTATTTTGGTACAGAAGTTTCCAGTTCCAACTTTTTTTAATCCAGCATGATTACAGCATATTTCTTGAACCATGACAACGTGGCTTTTTTCCCTCTGGACTCATTTAGTCTTTCTGTCTAGGTCTCTTGTGTCTGTTTATTGAAAACAACTCGCCCTACTTTCCACCAACACTTGGGCTATGTCTACACTGGCATGATTTTCCGAAAATGCTTTTACCGGAAAACTTTTCCGTTAAAAGCATTTTTGGAAAAGCGTGTCTAGATTGGCAGGATGCTTTTCCGCAAAAGCACTTTTTGCAGAAAAGCGTCCGTGGCCAATCTAGATGCGCTTTTCCGCAAAAAAGCCCCGATCGCCATTTTAGCGATCGGAGCTTTTTTGTGGAAAACAGTACTGTGCTGTCTACACTGGCCCGTTTGCGCAAAAGTCTTTCGGGAAAAGACTTTTGCCCGAACGGGAGCAGCATAGTATTTCCGGAAAAGCACTGACGATCTTACATGAGATCGTCAGTGCTTTTCCGGAAATTCAAGCGGCCAGTGTAGACAGCTGGCAAGTTTTTCCGCAAAAGCACATGATTTGGCGGAAAAACTTGCCAGTCTAGACACAGCCTTGTTGTTTTAGGTTATTGTAACATCTTGTGATACATAAGATCATATTCTTTTTTACAACTGAAATTAGGGTAAATTTTTAGGTTCAGTTATCACAACATTACAAGTTGACTGTAAAATGGTGTCTATTGTCTTCTTATCATTTTACAGATGGAGAAAAGCAGTCATCAGTTTTGCAATAAGCATTTAATCTGGAGTTTATTAAATTGGAGACACGATTCCATGTGTAGAAACCAAACTCTTCTCATTACATTTTTGAATATAAAACTACACAGGTTTCTACTTCCATGAAAAATAAATGGCCAGATTTAGCATTTTATATGACTTTGAAGTCCTGTCTTTATTTCCCCAAAGAGCTTTCATTTTCAGTCATGGTTATCCTTAAGAAAATGTTGGATTGTTTTTTTGAGACTTTGTGAAGGATACGGTACTAGTAACATTCCGGCTGGGCTGACAGTCAGATGGGCATTAGCTAGTGAAGGCGAAATACCTATTCCACCTCCTCAACTCCTATTCCACCCCTCACTTCCTCTCAGCTTCAATGTATTTAATAGAGGAGCAGCCTTTTATTTATTTTTAGGATTGAGTTTAATGGTGAATTTTTAGGTAAGCTTTTCCAGCATTATACCCCATTGGAAACAAGTCTCTCCCATTCCCAGCAGTTTGAGCTAGGAACATCTGTGATGGTTTGTTTTTAAGTCTGATCTGTAATAGTCTTACTCTTAGACCGCATCTGTCTTCCAAAAGGATTCCCAAGTCTTTTTTTAAAAGGCAAATCTTGAACCGCATTGGGCAGGCGGCATAAACTCACCCCAAAAGAGAAGAAACATGCAAAAAGAAAAGCTGCATACAGATACGATCTGCTTGGAGTCTGGCTGATGATGGACTGGGTGACAGGCTTTCGTGAAGTGGTAGGAACATGGGTGTGACATGAAGGAATTCTCCTTGGACCAGCCAACAGTAACATTGCTGTTCCTTCATTCAAATTTAGCACCATTTCACTACTGCCCCGCCCACTGTGGAAAAACTGACAGGGAATGAGAAGCCAGGAAGATCTGAGATGACCATTGCAGTTTACAATTAATTGTCGTCTCATGAGGGTGTGGGGGAGAGTGACTTGGTTATATGAGAGGCAAGAGGCATCGCCTCTAGTCTACGGCTATGTCTAGACTACATGGCTCCGTCAACAGAGCCATGTAGATGAATTTATTAGACATAGGAAAATGAAGTGACGATTTAAATAATCAGTGAAAGCAAGACTGACTTTTATTGAACTGACCAGTCACAGAGCATTTGGCTTGGTTAAGGTTTGCAGGGCAGAAACTTTCCTCCTACACCTTTTGCAACGTCTCTAGCACCACCGCGTCCTACTACTAATAATTAAAATCATAGAAGGGAAAGGCATCACTGTGGAGCTTTGGGATTTTTTGCAATTATCAGGTTCAAGCAAAATGAGCAACCCAGCTCAACTCTACAAAGGGTGGCCCTGGGAAAACAGTCTGGTAGCAAACTTGATAGTATTTTCTAATACCAGTATGTTTCCCACTTAATTTCTCCCAGGTGCCTCAGATCTCTGGGGAAAGCAGGAAGCTTCCTTTATAATGGACTGCTGCACAAGAGCATATGGATTGCTTTTTAAAAAAAACCTTTCATATTTATCTTAAATATTTGATATATTTTCTTTTTTGAGGAAATTCTGTTTCTGATTATGCCAGCTCAGGGGAGGAAAAATATACTCTGTGGAAATAATGTCTTTTCCTCTTTTAAGAAAAAATAAGGTCTAGAGGTATGTCATTTTGAATTATGCAGTTTAAATTCCCCCAGGCGCCATTTTACAGGGGGAAAACATTGCCAGTTGCCAGTTCTCAGCCTTGAGATGTCTTTATTGACTCAGTGCATTACCATATTGCTGTTCTTTTAAAAATAAAACTTTCCGTGAGTGAAGCTAACCCCTCACTTAAACCAGTACAGTTTGTGCTGCTTTAGATTTACCAGATCAAATTTCTTTTACAAATAGGAGTCAAAAGTCATGTGTAATCTTCCTCTGTATCTTATTAAAGGTTCTTTTTTTCCTGTTAACTGTCTCCTAGATAAAGCCATAAATTGTAGCCCCATGAATTTTAGAGGTGGACGTGTGTTTCAGTGGAGTAATTCTATTACTTTTTTTTTTGTCTAAGCAGTCTTCCTCTGGTGTCTAAGAGGTGGCAATTAATGTTAAACTGAACTTTCATAGCTGATTTTGAGTTAGCCCAGAAATCTGTTTAAAAACCCCAATGATCAGATTGTGTGGAGGGTGGTGTTCCACACAGCTACAACTTAATTTCAAATTCCTTCCTCATATGAATTTCTTTCAGTATTTCCTCACTGGAATATCACAGTAACACGGCAAATACCAGGGACTGCCCATGTAAACAAAACTTCCAATGTCATGGGCTATTGATACAGTCTATGGAATTCCATTGTTCAGAGGGTAGGGCAGCAAAAGAAAGAATCAATCTGGACTTTTCACAAAAGAGGAAAAGCATTTTTGAAAGTTTATTCAGAGCTTGTTTTGCACAAATTGCCTTTAGCAGAAGCACTTCATACTACTTTTTGTTCCTTTCTGCTTTTATAGTTCGCCTTCAGCAAGTTAGCTAGGACTTATTCTGCAGGTTCTCTCTCTACAGGACTTGCAGGAGGTAAAATGTACACGTCCCGCGGTTGATGGGTGTCCCAGCAGGAAATTACACATAGTTTTCATTGTCAATGGATGTGCTCACTGGTTAGCCTGAGGTTGAAGGTCTCACTTGTGTCTTGAAGCCACAGCATGGCTTGAGTGAGCACAGAGCTGTGCCACCGCAGGAGGAACCCTAGTGGCATTGACTCTCAATAAGCAAATTGCCCTCCAGAGCCCTTGAAAGCACTGGCACGTCACTGCCCTTCTGAAGTGCCCGGCCATCTGAGCCTGACACGGCCATCTGTGCCTTCCCAGCCCTCTGGATCGTGTCCCTTCTGGGCTGGCTAGCAGTGCTAGCCAGAAGCAATCCCTGCAAAGCGGAAGGAAGCACTGCAGTTCAGCCTAATGATTTAGGAGGCACAAGCTCCGAATAACTTCCCCACACCTGCAGCAGCTACCAAGGAGGTGGCCAGAATCTGGCCCTAATTATTCTGTGAGGGAAGAGATGGGGAAACAGTCCTGGCTGAAGTTATTCATTTCACATGCATCTTCTTCCCCGGGGATGCTCATTCGCTGTGCACATTTAATGGACTCCTGCTCTGAAACGTCAGGGCTTCTCGCATGGGGTAGTGCTCCCTCCCAGCTGGTCCCCTGGCCATTCTAGAAGAAGTTTGATAGTAGTACATGTGCAGGCTGTCTCTCAACTGACCCACACCAGAGATCTAGCCCTGGAAGTATCAGCTTCATAATATGAGATAAAGAGCTTCCTTGCTAGCACTGGAGCAGACTCCTATCATCTGCTGTTCAGGCACAGGGTGGGACCAGTGCACCAACTAAACCAGTGGGTTACATAAGCACTACAACAATATGTAAAACAAATGGAGATAGAGATTGTGTCCCCATGATGGATTACAACTCAATCTAGGTGCTGCGGTGTGCACCTCACCAGACCATAAGTGCTGGATCTAGGGGTGGTTCAGTGGCTCACTCTCACTATACAAATTGTTCCAGGTCCATTTTCTGCCCCACGTGCAGAACCTTTCATGGAAGTTATTGGCAGTTCTGAGCTTTTAATCGTTCTCCCTGAACTTTCACAGGGCAGGAAGCCCAAAAACTCTCCTGGGGGGGAATCTTGTACCCTCCTGGTTCAGTCTTGCAAGCAGAAAGCCCCTTCCTTCAGAAGTCTAGCTATTCCTACACTGTTTCCTGCTAGCAGCTACGGTGAAAATCTACAGTTTCTCTCACACACCTAAGAGAAAGGCTAGTAAGGACTGCAGGAGATGGATGAAGAAGAAGATGGAGAGCAAAATCAACAAGTAAGCACCAAAGCTGGATGAGGGAAGCCCAGCCAGGATGAAGAAGAGCTTAGGGAACAGTGGCTGAGCTGAGGAGATGATGGGTAAAAACCACAGGATTCCTTGGCCAAACCCAGGGAGATATGTGGCAATTAGAGGTGCAGTCTGTGAAGGAAATCCTCCAACGATAAAGAAAGGGAGCAGATACTGAGGAATCTTGGGAGACTCAAGTCGTGGAGGGAAGTCTGAAGGGAAGGAAGAGTCTTGATCAACGGTACGAGTGTGAGGAAGACAGTCCAGGGGGCATGTGGAGAGGAAGGTTGGACTAAAGGGAAATCTCTCTGGGGATTGGGAGGAAAAGTCCTTAGGTG